TGCCTTGGTGCAACAGAGCTTCCTGTCTGAGCCCTGTTCTGATATGAAACACATTAATCAGTTGTATGAAGATTTGACCACCGCTTCCTTGGCCATAAGTAAAGCAAGGAATGGGGTCCTGAGGAGACACTTCACCACTCCAAGCAGCTGCCTAAGGTCAGATCAAGTCCATGCCTTAAAAGCAGGTGTGTGGGAATCCTTGTGCCTAGGGTATCTCACCTGCACAGATGAAGTGAGGCTTGAATCACTCAGTTCTGAATGACCCCTCTCATGCTATTTACAGAATTTTCAGTGTTTGGCCACAGATCAGTAGGAAAGTGCACACACAAGGCTCATTCACTCCTGTAATTTGGATTTTGCAATGCAGTTTAAAGGCTATCTCTAACTTCTCTGTTAGTAATAGCAGAACAGAGAACAATCAGATAAAACCCCAGATATCATCAAGATCTTGTGGTATGAGAAACCTTGGTAAGTTTGTGGGGTTCTTGTTTAAGAAAAGGACTCAGCTCAGTACAGGTTTTGTATTTAAATTAGGATCATAAGATTGAGGGTTTCTTTTTGCAGCAAGCAAATAAGCGATTGTGTGAGGATGGATACAAAGACAAATGTAAGCTGGAAAGAGATAAACCAGCTAAAATAAATCAGCATAGAATCCCAGACTGATTTGTGTTGGAAGAGACCTGAAAGCTCACCCAGTTCCAACCCCTGCCACGGGCAGGGACCCCTTCCACTGGAGCAGCTTGCTCCAAGCCCCTGTGTCCAACCTGGCCTTGAGCACTGCCAGGGATGGGGCAGCCACAGCTTCTCTGGGCACCCTGTGCCAGCGCCTCAGCACCCTCACAGGGAAGAGCTTGTGCCCTATCTCTAACCTGAACCTCTGCTGTTCAATTTAAACCCATCACTCCTTGTCCTATTGCTCCAGTCCCTGATGAAAAGTCCCTCTCCAGCATCCTTGTAGCCCTCTTCAGACACTCGAAGTTGGTTGGAGGTCTCCATGCAGTTTCTCTTCTCCAGGCTGAACAGCCCCAATTTGCTCAGCCTGTCGTGCTCTCTAGAGAAAACTCTGTTAACTGAAATGGAAAACTTCTTTATATTATTTCTTTTCACTGAAGGAACAAGCCTTTGGTCAAAGTGACGCAAGATTCCCACATCTGTGTAACTAATATTGCAGCATATGTGGGGCTTGAAGCTGGGAGAGGATGGCACCATGCTTAAGCCACTCAGTACTCCAAAGGCTGAAGTTTCACAGTGCATCCAGATCAAGGCTCCAAGTGGAGTCTTCATGCTCCAGCTGAGCACTCTGGTGCCCAGGTTGTTCATCATTCCAGGATGGATTGATCTTTTTCTGTTCTTAATGCCATTTTTCAGAAGCTTCTGACTGTTCTGATGCAAAATGAAAACAAATGTGCAAACCTCAAATAGTTTCACAATTCATCTTTTCCAGCCACGCCAGATTCTTGGAGCATGTCATTAATCTTTCCAGTGGGATAGCTGGGTTTCTTACTAGGGATTTGCTTCTTGCTTACTTTGGATCTGCAAGTCTCTTGTCTTCTCCCACACTTTCCATGGATAAAGGAGAGGCAGTTGCAAAGACCATGTCTCTGACCAAGCCCATGCTGCTGCTGGTTAGGTCCTGCCTGCCCGATTCTAAAACCTTCATCTTGTGGTGCTTAAGGATGTCATCTGTGACATCCCTTTCCTGTATTTCAGCAATGTCATGGTTTCTGCAGCCCTGTTCCTCAAGGGTTGCCAAATGTGATTCCTCATTAAAGAAGGGTCTCTGCTCTCAGTTGGTCCCACTGTTCCCTGTCAACCCATCCTGCTTTGTGAAAGGCTCACAAGCACATCCAGTTAACAAACTGTTCCAGGAACAAAGAGATCCTTCCACATTTGCTACTCTTACAAGACCAGACAGAGCATCCTTGTGGATATGAAATGCTGCATGTGTGTTTCGGCGGCCTTTGTCTAATGGGAGCAGAAATAGGTGGACATAACAGAAATTAAATGCATTGGCCTGGCTCCATGGTTACTAGGAAACAGAAGGATGCTGGTTCACTGTAGTTATTTCATTCCCAGATGAGGAAGCTGAAGCTCAAGCTGAAATAAAAGTTCCTTTTCTGAAAGAGCTGTACTTCTGTAATATAAGAGCAAGCCCTCTGTTGAACCTGCACAGCCAGAAAATGGTCCTGTTTGCTTTGCACCCTCTGTCCTTCCATCACAAGTTGACACGAACCTTTGTTCGCTTAATTAGTTTTTTCTCTTTTGTATTAAGCCATATTGCCTTCAGCAGATTGGGTTTCATTCTCAGTAGGTAAAAATAATGGAAAGGAATTATTCCACAGCAAGCAAAAGTTCCCATCTCCTTTGCAACTGAGCTTCAGGAAATGAGCAAGACAAGCCAGAAACAGAAGCAAAGGTGAGTGTCAGGTCTGGCAAACACAGTCTTGTGCTTGAATGGGGTGAGAAGCTGGTCATCTCCCTCTGCAGGTAACACCAGGCACATTATAGGCAATGAAGGGAGTGGAGGAGAAACACCCCTGCATCCTCCCCTGTGCCTCAGCTTCCACTACCAGCTGCTTGAGGCACATTTTCACTGTCTCCAAACAACCCAGGGAAGGAAGGCACCCGGCTGCAGCACCAGGGTAAGCAGCCAAAAGCATCCCTTTGCTAAGGCTTCCCTGCTGCACCCACTCCAGCTCGTGCGGGCTTCTTGCTGCCTCTGTTAGTCATCTCTGCCCACCCGCTGATGTTCATCTGATCCCTCTTGCTCACAGACCCATTTCTTTCTGGTGAGCCCTGGCAGAGAGTTCCATCCCATTCAAGCTGTTAATATTTGATTACGCTTCTAGTGAAGTGAACACTCATTAAGTTAATTCCAGCAACAATATAAACATCAAAGGGCTGAATTAGTTGTAATGGCAGAATGTGATGGGCTGGCACCAATGCTTATTTATTGCTTTCTGCCGCTTCCTGATGCTCCCAGTGCTGTTGGGGACAGAGCGTGGCTTAGGGGAACATCTTGGTGCTGCGCTTCAAACCTGACTTCAGTCCCAAAGAGTGATTCCCACAAAGGTTTGGAAGCCCTGGTGTAAGTGTGGGCTCTGACTCACCTGAAACATGTCAACTATGGAAAACAATGGATAGAGATAACCCACATTTCATTGTGCTCCTTATAACCCTCTAGAAGACTCTAGAGGGATATAAGCTCTTGGCTGTTTGTGCTCACAGGTTCAGATGAGCACTGGAAGATCTGGGATAACTTCAATGCACTGAGAGTCTGGTATTCCTAATGAAAAACTCCATGTTCTTTCATTTTATTTTGCTTTTCCCTTTCAAATAATTCCAATTGATTTCCATTAAAAGTAGAACTAGATCAACATTTGGTGGGGATGTTCAGATCCGGACTGTAGCACACTGCAATGGGCACTCCAACCTTTTGCTTTCCTCTTGCTGCTGGTTCACTGCAACAAGCCAAAAGGCTTTATTTTGCCTTTTGCTAAAACGGCTTCCATTCTGCTCAAACCTGAATGTCACAAGTGGTGGTGAATGCTGCTTGGTCTCTGAGGGGATTTATAGTGGAAAGCAATATTGTGATATGGAAACGCTGCCATAAAACTTTCCTATTTAAACAAAGTTTGGGAAAACATACACGTAGTTCACATCTGTTCCAAAGGAAATGAGAAATATTGACTTCTCAAAGCTTGTTTTCATCCCAAGTCACAACAAATACCAATTACCCCTGAAAATATTATTGTTTCTGGCCATGCTTGTTGTCTCCCCTTACATAACAAACCTTCCCATGTATTTTCTTGCTGCTCTGCACCTGGTTTTGTGTTCAATACCTGGTGCTACCCAAGCCTGCTGGGTTCTCAGGTTTACAGTAGCTCCATTTCTCTCTAGATTCTCACATTGGGGCATACAAGGACTCTGCAGTTGGTAGAACTGAGCTATCTGATGCCTCATTTAGCTCTTTGAAGACTGAAACCATTGCACAAAGTCCTGGTTCAGTAACGGATGAGGATTTGGAAGCCTACGAAACACTTTGCTTGTGTCGGGCATGGCATATAAATACAAAACCTGTTGTTTTATCTCCTGTAACTATAATTACCCAGTCAGATGAGGGATTATAGCACTCACAGTGTTTGCTGTGGAATTAAAGCACTTGTAGAGCTATAAAGTGCTTACATGCTCTGGTAAATGAAATCAACTCGAAAATCACCTCATGTATTATAAAATCAAGAGCAAGTACAGGAGGCAGGGACACTGATTCACATACAATTCACCTTCTTGAATGGTTTCATTGGTCTTATCTTTGCTATTCCTTCTCCTCCCTGGGTTTTGGGCCCTTCTCATTTCTCCCAAGTCTGTGTTGCTTCACCCAAGATTAGATTTATCAGGTGGGTGAAGGGATATGTGAGCATCCACTATAACCCTCCCACTGTGCAACACCAGCACCATCCTGCCGTGACCCCAGCCAGGTTGTAGCTCTGCAGCTTGGTGCAACTTCTTCCCATGCATTTCCCACACATCATACAGCCTGGTTCAGACACAGGATGGGCAATGAGCAGCTGCCCCTTGTACCCCCTTTACATCAATTTTGCCCTGGTCTGGCTGCTATCTGTTGCAGTTTTAAGCTCTTTTTCTAGGGGAATCCGTGAGGAATGGTGAATGGTGGGCTGAGAGTGACTTGGGGCTGGCTCATGTACTCCGTCAGGTCATTTCCATTTAACATTCTAACAACTCTTGGTGAAATGCTGGAGTTGAATCCTCCACTCCTAGAGCACATGCACAGAACAGCGTTTTAGAATCACTGCCTTTACTGTAGACACACTTTAAATCTTTTACTTTACTATGTGATGGCTGCTCTACACTTGAAACCCCAGAAACCCTCCAAGATGCCTGACTAGATGGGAACACAGTCGTATGAAACAGCAGGACACTGGCAACCACACCTTCAGGTACTTCACTCAATAATTAACTTCAGTTTCTTGCTACCTCAGTTTACCCATCTGAACACTCATTTATTCCTGACAAGGCAATAAGAGACTTTGGCTATGGAGCCTTGCACAGGTAGAGATGACTCTGATACTTTCCTGTAGCATCTGTCTGGCTGTGATCCTGCAGAGCTGATCAGCTCAACACTTCTTCGGTTTCTTTCACTGCAGGAGGTGTTTGTTAGTGTTTGCAGGGAGCATCTGAGGTACCCTGAAATAACTGAATAAAACACAGAAAAGACAGTTGCAATCTTATGTCAACTCATACACTGTCATTAAATAAAGTCTGGTGTAAGTGGAAATGCCGTCAGTGTAATTAGCTAAAGCTGGCACTATGAAATGCTCATATTTGATTTCTTCTTCCTCCCTCTTCCTTTCCACCAGCTATTTAACAGCACACAGCAGGTAAAAGTGAACACACACTGTTTGTCTCCAGTGCTTTTCCAAAACATGCTCGAAGCTGTTTAATGTGCTCTGAAGTATTCAGGCTGGGCTTGGCTTGTTCAGTGACTAAGCCCAGCTACTTGGGGGTGCCTCCTCCTTGCATCCCTTGCTTTCGCCTGGTTCCCTGGGTGCTGAGCACAGGGGAAGATCAGCTGCTGATACCGGGTGTGAGTGGCTGCTGTGTCACAGGGGGCTTGCAGCACTCCAACACTGGCCCTCAGATCCAAGCTGCCGCACAGAAGCAGTTGTCACCATGGACACCAGAGCAGGGCAGACTCATCAGAAGATATTGATAGGGTAAAATGTCAGCGACTGGAAACCAAACCAGCATGGGGTCTTCAAAGGGGAGCGGTGAATCATCTCTCGGTTAGGTAAGGTGGCCTCTGACTGCAGGGAAACCCAAGGGCTAATTTGCATCTTGCATTATTATTATTAATAGCAGTGTTACCGTACTGGAACAGCATCCCAGTGTGTTCAGATGACGGATAAACAGAAAACAAAACCCGTGTCAGGTCCTATGGGTTTGTTAGCTGAGCACCAGGCAAGAGCTAGGATGGGCTGAGCCCCAGGATGTGTCAGACAACAGATTGCTGAGCCCTGACACACTCAGCACCAAAGCTGAAGCTTGGGGAAGGGCACATCCACGGATGCTGGGAGCAGGGTCGTGTTAGGAACTGACCTTGCAGTGACAGGGGAAGGTTGCCACTTTAGGTCCTGCCTTGTCCAGTCCCTGCTTGCTGTATTTGCTGCAGGGTGACACAGCCCCCATTCCCCATGGAGTTAAACCACGCAAGATCTGCCAGCCCCTAACCACTGTTTGTATTGCAGTGTCCTAGGATCTTCCAGCTGTGGCTCAGGAAGATACTTGATACAGTCTGCTCTCCCCAGAAATAACAAAGACCTTACAAGATAGCCCGTTTATCATTCCAGAGGGGATTTTTCTCATCAGTTTTCCAATCAGAACCTCCTCAAATCCCAGAGCTAATCAGACACTGATTTACTGCTTGGGTTAGCTCTATAATTTGCAAAACTCCATCCACAGTCTTAGCTGTAATGGCAGTGCCTTTACATTCTGTAGTTCTCTGACTGTATCTGATTACACCAGTCAGAGCATCAAAGTAGTTGTCAAACGGAAAGAACAACTTCAATAGACCCAAGTTTACTGCTTAGATGAGCTGTAGGAGGAGAAAAGGAATGCGAGCAATTCACCAGCTAATGCAGTTTTTGATTGTATGTCTGCTAGGCGTAGAGAGGTGCTTTGCAAACACTTTTTAATGTGGTTTTGCTTCTCTTGGAGTATTTAAATTGTCTTAATTGTTTAAAATCACACATTATCTGTGTCACGTGGAGATCTGTCTTTTTAATATTCCAGAGAAGTATCCCAAAATGGGCTTTCCCGTGGCATGAGCTGTGATTGAGTAGAAGCAGGATCTGAAAGATTAAAAGGGCTTATCTTGTCATGAAAGACAGGGGAACTTTGAGTGGTCACTTCACCGATGTGATTAAGTCTGCAGGTACAGTCTGACACTCTCTCAACATGTCAGGTATGAGTGATGGGGAAGCAGTTGATTCCTAAGGTAGAGGTCAGGTTTTAGATCAGTTCTCCAAGATCCCCTTCTAGGAAAACACATTGAGAGGAGCTACTGTCAAGGAGAAGAGAAAGACAAGCACTTCTGTAGTGATAGGGTAGTTCCTTTTCAGAAATGTCCAGGATGAAAATGGACTTTCAACCTCAGAAAAAGGAGAAAATAAAATAAAATAAAATAAAATTTAAAAGAATTGCTTTGTTTGACCTTTTTTTGAAAGTAATTGTCTGTTTTCCAACTCCAAATGAGGTCTCTGCTCCATGTGCAACTGATGGGTAACAGCCTTCCGCTTCTCAACCCTCCCTGTACCTCTCAGCTTAGGCAACTACCTTAAGTAGTAGCTTAAGTAGAGCCCTGTGCTCAAGGAGGTGATTTTATTCCCTGAAATGACTAAGATATTGCTACACATTTGCTCTGCCAGTGTAACTGTGGAGCACTGTGAGAAGGGGAGAAACGGGCAATGAAGGCAGAGTGAGGGCACATGAGCCACCACAGCCCTTTGCCAACACCCTGGGAGATAAGTGGCCACTCAGAGAAGCAGGGGACGCAGCTCACAAGACAGAGCAAACCCAGATTGGTTTCTTTGCCTTAGTAAGCTGTGTTAATAGCTTGCTAGTGTGGAAGACCAAATGTTTATTCACAGTTAGTTCACCAGCTGTGCTAGGATTCCAAGTCACTGTTAGTGCTGTGAACTCCAATTCTGATGTAGACGTTTTGGTCATTTAATTATACTGAAAAAGATTTTTTCCCTTTTATTTTCAGGGGATTTTCAGGTGTATTTTTCTACTGGGCAATGCTGGTCATTCTGCCCGCCAGGCAGACCCTGGAATGCCCTTTGAACTGCTGTATGATTGTTGCATTGTTAGTGATTGATGGTATGATGATTAATTTTCAGGAAGGACTGAAGCAGTGAGAAGGAAGTTAGTTGCACTATATTATAATTGCTGCAGAATAAATCCGACTGTAATCAGGATGTTCTGATTGCAGTCTACAGGGATTTCTGGATGTCCTTTTTAGCCATGACATCATGTGAATGTGATTTTGCCACCATTAGAAATAAGGAATTGAGAAGGGAACTGAGGATGTTGGAAGTACTCTTGTACAACTAAACCTAGGGGAGAAGGCTATTCAAACCCATTTGGTCTCTTCCAGCTCCCAGGCAAAGATCAAGCATCTGAGGAGACAGTTTAGGGGATAAATTTCCAGATTCTTTCTCATTGGTTTTGAATTTACATTCAAGGACACAATGAATTTTCCCTACCAGCATTTCCCACACAAAATGTTGTCAATGCCAGAAAATTGTAAAGGTTGCGTAGAATGAGCCAAACTACCCTTTGTGGCCTGAAAATCTCCTGATTGTCTCCTCTTGTGAAGCCAGCATAAGAAAAGTTTTTTGGGGATATTTCTCATAACCCTCGTCCTCAGTTCTTAACTATTGCAAAGGAGTGAGGGGTCCAAATGATCAGGAGTTCTGACACAAAACAGGCAGGTTGTTTAACCACTGCAGTGGCAGGAAAAGAGATGGGTGAGTTTTCATAGAAAATATGTACCTGAGTCTGTATCCAGACTGTTTATTTAGGCTTTTTCTTCAAGAATCCCCCCTTTCTCATCCGAAAAACGTCAGCAGGGTCTCCAATTCTTTGTTCCTGAAGCCTTTCAAAGGACTTTTCCCTTGACAGCCAACAAGCACGCTGGTGAAACACCCCCTCTGCTTGCTCATTTACAACAAGTACTTTTGGCAGCTTTAATGCATGTACACATGCTTTCTCAATGCATCAAACAGCAAGACTCGGGATGCAACAGTAATCTACATTGCAGGCATAGATTTGCTCCTGATGGGTAACACAACAGTATTTGAATAACTTTCAATGCAGAATATTTTCTAAGGGACTACTATAATTGTTCCATCTAAATCCATGGCAGGTGCCCCAGCTATTCAAACACAGCGAAGTGTGCTGTGTTTGTATAGCTCAGCTTAGCATTTGCATTGTCCCATATTCATCATCTTTAGATTTTCAACCAAATCCTGGCTGGTGGGCTGCTGGCAATGAATCAAAGCAGTGCTTCTTTCCCACTCAAATATTTAGAGACAAATACACCACAACTTCACTTGGTGGTAAGAAGAAAATCGTTCTATGTGGTATTTGGGAGGAAAACAGGACCTTGGAGAATGGCTCATTCCTTCTCAAGGTGGTGATTCCTTCTCAAAGGGTTGCTGAGCTCCAGCAGTTCTCAGCATCCCCCCTGTATTGTAAGTTTAATATTATGAGCTGTAAAGTGGATGCCCAGGAGTATCTACCATGGCTGCTGCTCCAGCAATGCTTGAGAGGGGTTCAAGCACACAGTGTTGTTGAGTGTCTTTGTCAGTACTGGTAAGCCAGCATCCTCCCTAACTGAACTGTGGCATGGAAAGCCACTGATACCTATAGCAAACCCTGACAGTCTCTGTTATTACCTTTCTGCTGTCTGAAGAAAAGCATTTTCCACATGGTCAGGAAGAAGGGTATTTCACGTATACCCTTCATTGGTGACTCAAATTCCGTGGCGATTTTTGTTTGGCCTTTGAAAGGGAAGGACTACTGGGCTGACAGGGGATTCTTCCTTTTTATTGTGGCTTCGAAGCATAAATGAGATATGACAGAACATCTTCAGGTTGCCTTTGGCATACATTTGTGTTAAATTCTGCTTTAAATGGAAGGGGGTTTGCAGTAGCAGGACACAGCAGCTCTATTCTCCTTTTCTGTGTAGAGGGTTTTCTTTTTTTCCAATTTGGGTTGAATTTATTTCTAGGAGTCTTCTGTCCTACTTTATGCTGAAGTACTAAGCTAAATAAATAGGATTTAGATGACTAGAATCCCTAGGTGCCCATTTGAAGCACCTCACAAAGCCATTAAGGATGGATAAGAGCTTATTTGGGTTCTGATGATGTCCTTATGCTATAGCCTGTATAGCTTTGATGCTCTGCTTGGTGTCAGCACTCAGATGTGTGCGCTCATGTTCCTTGACCCAAGGCCACATGAGTTGAAGCCACTTATGTCTTTAACTGTAGCTAAGTTTGCTTATTAGGGGAAACATTTGGTGCCCCATGCTTATAGGAAAAGGGGGAATTTGGCCTCCAAACCTCTCATCAAACACAGCATCACAGAAAACTCTCAGCAATGCTGTTATTTTCATGCTTGATAACCTTGACATCTCTATTATTTTTTTCATGTGTAGTCAGTGTGAAAACTATTAAAGCTGTACAAACCCCACATCATTTAATCAAAGCTTTGGAGTACAATGCCTCTATTTAAAATCAAAGACAAGCACTGAGTCTGGAGCCAAGCAAGAGCTGCAACTTCATGGCAATTAACAAAGACAATCGCATTCTTATCATGAGGAGATGGTTTTTTCAACTCTGGTTCTAATTATAACGAGGCACTCAAACATACCCATCTCCTGCAGGACACTGAATTGAGCTTAACACTTGCAGTAACCTTTTCTGAATGCTTATGCATGAAAATGTATGAAATCCTCTCCTCAAATAATGATAGAATTAATTTTCTTTGTCTGATTCAGTAACTTCTTTGTTGTGCAACAGCCCCAGAATTTAAGGCTGAAATTAGAGCCTTTTAAGG